GATCGCTGTACAAACAAGTTCTTAGGCCCACGGACTTACCAATACTTTGCTCTGAACGGCGTCGAGACTCAATGACACCAACCCTTGCCTCGTACAGCTTGCTTTTGGCTACCTGAAGAGTTAACAACGGCTTGGCTCGGTCATCTAAAGATGTTAATTGTATGCATCATCAGTTATAATAAGCAGAAAAAGTCATCATTGTGGAAATACAACTCACCTGTATGGCCAGTCAGCGCCAGGAACTTGCTTGACCCCAGTTCGTAAGCTGTGTTCTGAATCTGAATCTCCAGGCGTAACAGTGATTTCGGTATATTGAGCAGATCACTTTTCTCGCGACCCGTTTGAGTTCGAACCCGTTTAAGTTTTAACTTTCTGAGGGACTCACTAGAAGAACACATACATAAATAAAAGGCCATTAAAAGGCTGAGCTATTGAATGTCACAAGATTTAAGTGATGAAGAGATTTCTGACCGAGTTTCAATGAGCTCCTCCTCCAGGTCAAGTAACAAGATCATTCAATGAGCTCCTCCTCCAGGTCAAGTAACAAGATCATACGCTTCTTTTTCTTGGCGGCAGTCTGGCTGATAACATCCATCTGAACTTGCCTCTGTCGATCCCACTGACCACTTAAGTACTCTAAGGTATGCCCGTGCTGAGCCTGCAGCTGATCCAACAAGCTCTGAGCGTCTGAAAGTCGATCTTTGGCTTCCTTCATATGCAACACCAAGGACTGTACTGCGATGAATTGTAAAATAGGATAGGTATCAGTACATCAGCATATAGACAAACATTGATTATGACAGAAGTCCAAAAGCCACAAACCTGCGTTATGTCGGTTTTGATGATTGAAATGAAGAGCCCGAAGACTTAGACTTTCAAGTCGATGTTCGGCAGTGGAGTAGCGCAGAGGAGATATAAGTGGTGACAAGAAGGACCAGATTCGTTCGAGGCCTTCTCCATCTGACAGGCCCCACCCTGCGTTCAGTCAAGGGTTATAAGCCAGTTGACAGGACCATTCATGCACAAAAGCGTGAAACACGCTAGTGCCGAATTTGAGCCGCCCTTCGGCTCTTGCTTTAGCAAATTGTTTGCGCTGTGTTTGACTCCAACAATCAGAAACATCATAAATGAAGAGATCACATATACTAACCTTGATTATTCCCTTTTCAATATTACATCCTATGTCGTAAAGCAAAGCTACTTTATTTGCATCTAGTCCTTGGTTTTCAGTCACTTCAAGCAACCAATCCACCAAGGCGAGTGCAAAGTAACTCCTAAAAAAAGAAATGTATAGAAGATTCATATCAATATACAATATTACGTGGATCAATTTGTAAATTCATCAAAGCACTTTTCACCACTTTGCTTTATGTTTGCAAATTTAAGTATGTGGTTGTGGCAACATGCCATGCCCAGCAAGCCTGTATCATCGTTTCCGCCCCAATGATTCTTGTCCTGTACATCGTCAGCTGCCGTGTGCTGAGCTGTACAAGGATCCTACATAAGAATGAAGAGTTGATTTATATATATGTAAGTCTCAAAGTGGCCAAAGTGATATGAAATTGAGGATAATAGGATACATACAACAGGTTCATCATCTTTTTTTGGACGAACAGATCGGATTACCTCTGCCATTACTTCAACTTTGGCAGGATCCATGAATAGCTCCGGTGCCGGAGGATTGAATCCTGGAATAGGTACACTTGCTGCCAGGTGCCTTCTTTGCTGAAAATTCCCATTGCAACAGCATACAATTTCAGGCTCATAAACTTCAGTCGTGGTATCTGGTGCGGGTGGTCCAAAGCATTGCGGGCAGTTGGCCGCGAGTTTAGCCAGCTCGTCAAGTCTAAGTAACTCCATTTCCTTTTGGCGGACCACTGTTATTAGCCTGCGATAAGCGTCTGAAGCTGCCCCTAAAGGATTTCTCCAGTCTCGAGGCTTCACAATTAGTCATGTTGTCAGTTCTGTCTAATGTTGAGCTTGAAGGCAAACAATTCATTCTCACCTGGTTCAATTTTTGTGAGGTGATTACTGGCCAGAAAGCATCGAGCACCTCGTCCATAGCCTTCGAAAACGGTTCAGTCCGTACACAGCACCATTTCCAAAGAATGTGATGTGTCCGAAGAAAACCCAAACTGAACGCAGTCCTGGGATGTACTGGTGAAGCTCCCAGATACCCCATCTGGATCAATCTGCCATGATCACTCTGACAAGCACAGAAATCAATAGCCCTTTGAGATCGAGCTGTTTTAGAAATTGTGTTATTCAACAAAGGCCTTACCAAACTGACAAACAAACGATGGAAATAGTTGAGCTCACCTGCAACATCCAACAAGTGTACTCTTTGTATAGTTCGATCTCTTCCGCGACATCCACATTCTGGTTTGACATCACGTAACACTTCCATTGGATTAGCCCAATTCGAGGTACGCTCTCGGTTGGCTAAAAACAGTGGTAAGTTCAGCTTGTACTGCCAAATCCAACGATTTTCTTGCTCAAGCCTTTTAGCTAGAGCTTACAAAGCGTTCAGCGCCTCTACCAAAGGCTCTTCTTCACCTGGGACCTCATCGTCATTGCCCATTCCCCCTTCATCGAGGTCCATGCGCGCGTTGTTGATGTCAATCCATGCACTGTCATTATCTTGTTGTATTGGTTGACTGTCTGAATTGTCCAAAAGTAAGTTGCTGTCTTCATGAACTATTGTCGATTGAGAGTTGGATGAGGAAGGATTGTCAAGCACGCCTCACAGCTTTATATCGGCCAGTTCTGCTTTTTTTCGGGCGTGTACACGTTTCTGAAGTTCAGTTGCGTTTTTGGATAGTTTGCCAAGTGCCTTGAAAGAGGGTGCTTTACTTTTGCCAGCCATGATGATGACAACGTGATGGTGTTTGATTCTTGGATGCAAAAAGAGGTTGCTTTGGTCAGATCATATCATGCGCAAATCAACAACGTCTTTTCATTTTCATGGCCCAATCTTCTTGCCATTCATGACCTAAGCGGACGTTTACATAAGCCTTGGCAGGTACTTCCCAAAGGAGACTTCATACAGAAATTCAAAAGAGGGGTGACGTCGTTGCGTTTCAATAGAATAGGACCGATTGATTTAGTGAAAAAAAACATTTCCCTTTTTAAAAAAAGTTAAATGTTAAGCCTTTTGGAAAAAAGTTAAACGTTAAGCAAACAAAAGAGATGTAGTCCTTTGAAGTCACACATGATCAGAATCTAAAAAAAGTCTGACCAGGAGAAAATACAAACGTTCAAAGACAATAGTGATAGTCTTCAAAGTTTTTTTAAGTATGAAGTTCACGTCAATCCAATACTTGCCCAACAAGTCACTTTTGAAACAAATCAAAATAGTATCTTTGGGTATGGCCCAGCACTTTAGAGGTTCTGTCAACCTTACTTATGGCTATTTCAAGTAGAAGGCTCCAACCAGTTCCAGATTTTTTATTAATCTTGAGAAAACTAAATGTGTGTGTGGCCATCACATGATAAATGAACTGTTAATATCACAGTGAATCATGTTCAAACAATTATCTTACAAACTGTTAATATCACAGTGAATGATGTTCAAACAATTATCCATGATTGTATCACTCTTAAATTCAATGAACACTCCATGATTACTGTTCAAGGTGATTCCAACTGGTCAACTACTACCCCTAGCATAAATTTTGGATACTGATTTCTGAAAATAAATTTCGGGTTATTCATTTGATGGCCAACTATTTAATCCTTCAGCATCAGCTTTGGTGTGATGATAGCTTGGTAATGAGATGATGAGGTTTTTTAAATTGTGAAAAGAAGATCTTGAGGTTATGGCTGGAAGAACAGCATTGGTTTTATGAATTGAGCAAAATGAGAGAGGTGTCAAAAATCGGGCTAAGGATGTTATACCAGTATTGAAATTGCATTTTGGTTGAACACTTATCAATATTTTTGATAAGTTCATGCCCAATCACCAGTTGCAAGTCGATAATCATGGCTTATGACTTATAAGTTGAAATCCCAAGTTGAATATTTTTGTGAACTCTCCTCCCGATAGCAGTGCTCATTTGAACTCGTTACTTATCAAAAAGCTTACTTGCTTGACTTCACCATTCCACACAGCTCAAACCCTAACTTTGAACAATAGGATTCCAAACAAAGCCCGAGTATTTATATTCTTGATCATGCTATATTGGTCAGGTACAATTTTCACTCCACTTGGGTATGTGATTGGAGTGGAAAGCTTACAGCCTCTTATTGATGGAAGATGCGGATGTACTATGACACTTTCAACTCGACTTGACAAGCAATTGTCACTGCATCAAGAATATATCCTCAATATGTTCTCTACATATTCCAATGTGATCTCTTCCTCTGAAGCCAAATTTTTTTGACTTGTCCACACCCATGTCACTTTTCAACACTCAAATACAATAATTTCAAGTATAGCTGAATGCACTCAATGCTTTTGTCATTCCAATCAATTATCATCACATGTTGAATGACGGAAGAACTAGAGTATACCATATACTACCTACGTGAAGACTAGACTCCAAGGTGCAAGAAGGACTGTTAAATCTTAGAATCAAACAAATAGCTTGTCATTGATGAAGCACAAAGCTCTAACCTCGAACTTACATTTACCACTATAAGTATTATGAAGTAAGTAACTTGGGTTTAAGTAATTTTTAAAACACATGATAGATTACACTCCTTGTATACAATATGTGATCATCATATTTCACGGAATTAAAAATCCGTAAAAGAATAGCAAAATTCCAGATTCCATAAATGATCTGGACTTTTACAGGATTTGTTTCCTCACAAAACATAATACAAACTTCCCCATTAAATACTCACCTGATAAGCTTTTGTGATTGCTCACTGGTTAGATTTATATTCAAGAGATGATCTCACAACTAGATCTGTATATGTATTACATATACACAATCAATCAAAAAAGTCAACAGTTCAAAACAGGAGCTTTATTTATGGCTCTCTACAAAAGCAGTCTACACAACAACAGATGAGCAAAACAAAAGATATAACTTCAGCTGTCCTTTGTAAAATGTGACGCTCACCAGTTCAAAACAGGAGCTTTGTGGCCCTTTACAGAAGCAGTCTAAACAACAACAAATGAGCCAAACAGAAGATATAAATGAAGATGTCTTTTGTGAAATGCGACGGCTGGATTGGGAAGGAGCAGATGAGTTTCTTAAAGCGCCTGCACGAGTGGCGCGAGGTGCTGTTATCTCTGAATTAGCAGGTAAGTCTTTGGACTTCACCCGTTTCCTTTTTTTCATTTGAGCAGGAGCACTGTAATTGATCATGGTGCTGGGCGATGCACACTGCGTATCAGGGGGTGTTATAGTTATCTAAATAGAACAAATGTTGGTGTCAAATTTATGATGATGAATGTAAGGAGAAATGATGTTTACATTACTAGCTTGGCTCTCTTGTGGACCTTGATGACCGATTGGAATTTCCACTGCGAGTGAACAATCCTCAGTTTCATGCCCAACGTCACAGCCTCGGGATGGTGTTGAACAATTCTGAGGAGTTGGTCCAAGTAGGAAATCAATGTACGACTAAACAAGAAAACCAAAACATAAGCAACCTTTGTAGTATTTTTGTTTGCTCCCCCTTTAGCATCTTCAATTGCTTCAGTTTCTTCGTTGCCCTCTTTTTCTTGAAGTTCAGGGACCCGGTTTTCTTTGTCTGAGCTGTGGTGAGCTGCACCGATTGGTTCGTTGGTAATTGTCTGAATCTACAATAAAGATTGTAAGTAAACGACTTTTGGAGTAACGAATAGAAGAGACTCAAACGTACATGTTGAGTACCATTGGGTTCACTCTCATTATCATCCATCTGACCCAAAAATCGAAGGGCAAGGTCCTGTGGTAAACAAGTCAATTGATATTGGACGTCACATGTACTGAAAGTTTGGACAAAGTCGAGGCTTACAAGTTCTTCTTGATCGAAGCTACCTGCAATAGCCATTGTAGGACTCTGAAAACCATTGTGTATGTAAATGTTGGCCACAAGAGTCAGTTTCAGATATATCCTCACCTTGATCGAGCGCATACTGAAGACGCTAAATCAGTCTATA